TTGTATTACAAAATAAGACAGATAAATATAAATATTTATTCAATCATCTAAAATTTATGTTTTTCTATAAGAAAATGTTGAAAGTACTACTACAGTTAGTGGAGTAACTGGAACTAATAAAATGCCAGAAACTGGAAGAAAACGCGAAGCAAAACGAAGACAATTAGAAGCAGTAAAATTACGGCACAATGTTGCTGCTAAGAAACTTTAATTTAAATGCCATAATTTAATAATTGCATTCATGTATCCAACACAAAAGGAATTAAAAAATAATGAATGCAAAATAAGTATTTTTTCTATTAATGACTAATTGATATTTGTTAAAAATCAATTTTTAATTGTTTTTCTAACATTGTTTATTGTATTATTATATATTCTTATAAAATATTATACATGTATTCAGCAAAATATAATTACATATAATTACTTTTATAACCTGTATAACCCACATATATTAATTAATATTAAGATATAATTTACTGGTGAAACAAATTTTTAAAAATAAAATGGCTGCAATATGTCGTTTTCAGTAACATTTAAAATAAAACTTACAAGTCTTAAATATATAAAAATAATAGGAATCTCATTATTCTCTTTACAATTGAGGTATGTAAAATTTATGTAAATATTTCTTTAAGCAATACTTTCTTACACTTTAACTGTTAAGTACACATTTTTTACAACTGTTAAGTATATTTTTTTCTATTGTCATAAGTGAGATTGTTCCGCAGTACTTTCAATAGGGAATCTCATATTAAGACAATTGGCATTGCTAGGTTCACGCTTAAAACCCAAACTTTCATAAAATGGTATAAGATGATCTTTACAATCTAATGACAATTTATAACACCGTAGGTAATGTGCTAATTGTAATACAATTTTGACTATCAGCTTTCCTAAGTGCTTACCACGATATTTATTATTGACTACCACATCTTCTAAACGTCCTCTCTGTAACAAATTTTTCAGCCTCATTGTTTGAAAACTTTATTTTTCAAAAAATATTAGACAAAGAAAAACATACCAAAGCACAGTTGTGAATAAATTTCTGCTCTACAACTAATGTTGAACTTGCTATTATTTTTCCAATACTTACATCTTCTATTACAATAATATAATAGCTACCAGTACTTTTCATCATATGAAAGTGATCTATATGTTTCAAAACAAGATCAAATGCTTTTCTATGTTACATATATTTTTTTTTTAAAGACAAGCTAATTTTAAACAACTTACTTAGAAATTGTTCCCTACTGACATTTCCAACTTCAGTTAATTGAGTTAAGAGCTGAAGAAAACCTTTTAAATAAATTCAATAAGGTTAGTGAACAAACTACATTATTAGTAATAACAATTAGCTTTGATCATTTCATTACCTCTATCGTAATCGCCAGATTTTAAAGGTCTAATTAATAAACCCTCGATATGTGATAAGGATAACCGTTCCAATACGTTTGAATTAAATAATTCTGTTTCTGTATCCGGCAGACATTTTTCCTGGTTACGCGTAATAATCAATGAATTAATTCAATTATCAATGCACATTTTAAAAAATTAACGTAATAATAATATTATAAATTCATAAAAGTAGTAATATTATAAATTTAGTAACATATTGTTTTTACCAAACCAATATCATTTTTTAACTAAAAGTTATTTGTTAAATTTAAAAATGAACTATAAAAATGATAATATTTACAACCTCTGTAAAACTCATTGTAATCACACCCACTGTTTCAGGCTTATTTGTTAGAGCTTTTTATCTTCCGCGCTAGTTGAGATCATGCATATGGAGAACTTAATTGATACTGCTATAATATGAGGTGTCACTTCCACGCAACTGCCTTTAGATTTCTTTATTTTTTACGTTTTATCAAGGATTATCAAGTTTATCACGAATTAAATGATAAATTTTCATTAAAAAATGTTTTCTATTTATGAAGGTAAAATATATTGTGTTATACAGTCTCACATAGCAATAGAACGAATTGTAATATTAAGAAAAAAACATACTTTATTTAAAACAAATTATTTCTTTCAAATAGAGTACCAATAAAAAATAAAATATGTTTATTTCGTATAATTCACTTTAAATTTCACATCTTATTATATAATTCTCGGTTAATTTTTCAATATTTCATAAAAAACAATGTGAAAGTTAAGGCAAAACAGAATTTTACTCTTCGAATATATAACTTCATTATAAATTTGTCCAATTTTTAACCAATAGGATTTTGAATTTTGGACTTCTACACAATTCGATATTTTTCGATATATCTCAGTAGGAACTGGTTATATAATATTACTTTATGGCTGCCGTTGGTGTATAATAGAGTAGTTTCATCGATCTGTTAAGGTTGAGTTTCAATCTAATTAAAAGGTAAATGCTGTAATATGTCACATTTTATTACTATTTCAAAATTCAATAATTTGTTATTTAATCTAAATTGTAATAGAATATAATGAAAGTCAAAGGTATGCAATTTAGTTATTTGCAGTATGTATGTATATTTTTAAAATATAATAATATAAAAATTTCTTTTTGTATATGGTTAATAGACAATGCAATTTTTGTATAATTAAATGATTTATCTATAATGAAAGTAAAAGAGAAGCATAAAGTGTACAAGTATACAATTATGTTTGCATTTGTCGTGTATGTTCGTTCACGTGTAACCTATTTCTCTCAATGTTCATTAATAAAATGTTAAGTAGAACATTTAATTTAAATTCTCAAGAAATAACAAAAAATATCTACTTTTGAGTTGACTTAAGTAGACTGATTATGACTTTGAATATTAACAATTTTATTACATGTTTTTACATAGAAGTGACATGTTCATTTTTTTAAATATGCAAAGATTCAAATTTTTATGTATTTATAAAAATATGACAAATATTATTATTAAATGATTTTTAGCCATGTCTGGAAGACCTATGAAATACCCATACACATTGTCTGCAAAGATGGCTCGATTTCCATTTGATCATTTCTATTTCAAAGCTAAACGTGGTTGGGTCATCAGATATTGGACACTTAGCTCAATACTTTTATTACCTCTTTGGTATAAAATAACAAAACTAAGTAAGTTACATGCAATTAAAAAACATTTTTTAAGATAACCTTAATTTTAATATATATAATACTTAATGCTTCTTGTCTTATTGCATTTCAGCTTATAATCCAGAGAATGTGAAAAAATGGGATGAGATCCATGCAAAGCAATTTTCAGGAGAAATGCGTCATTAAATCGTATTTAAAAATATTGTAGTGTGATTTAAAAAAAATTTTTATATAACATTATAAACAATTTTCAATTATAAATCTATTTTAAAAGTTTATTACCAAATTAATTGTATAAAACGTACATGATTACAAAGAACTACTTCTACTGCTGTACAATATAGAGATTAATGATAATTTGTACCGTAGATTTTGTGTAGGGCCAGCCTAAAATTTGTGAATTTTTAAAAATGGCTGATTTTTGTGAAAAGAAAAAAATAAGTACCACTAATGTGTTAACAATTAGATGAAACTGAAAACAAACGCGATTAAATAATAAAATTTTTAATTTCCAATAGTTTTATGCAATATGTAACAACATACTTGAACCCCAGTAAAATCTACTTTATATAAATATAAATAAAGACATAGTAACTGTATTTGTATCAATGTCTAATTATTTTCGTATGAATACTCGTTTGTATTCACAATAAAAAAGGTCTTGATTCCTATTACGCATGTATTAACTTTTAGACCATCAACAATGTTATGCGTCATCGCACTTCACACGGTATATAGGTATACTGTAAAAGGCAGGTAAAGTGTTGTAAACACGTTATGTGAATTTTGCATAAGTAAAAGCTTTCAAAGTTTAGAATATATTTAGGTAACTATTAGAATTTTTTTCCGTGAAAGAATATGTAAGATGTACTCAAATGAATAATGTTAAAATAATAAATAATCACTAATGTAATGTAAAAAAACTTGTTTGATAACAAAAAATTTGTTTATAATAATACTAACTCAAAGATTATTCTTGTACTGGCTCAAGCATATGAAATTAGTTCATTGCTTACGCACTTGTTTATAAAACATTCTACATTAAGAAATCTAAAAAGTACGCAAGAGCAATTATACAATGCGTAAAATTTTATAAATAATACTGTGAATGCCTTTTATTATAGCAAGCTTAAAAAAAGTTAATCGGGATATTCGAAGAGTAACAAAAAAGAAAATATTTTAAGCACTTTTAAACTTGCATGTTTTATCACCTGTGTCAATAGATTAACTTTGTAAATTTTATGCAGCATTTTCTAATCCTTAGTAAACGAAGTCTTTTTTTTTTAGTAATATATACTTTACAGAACTTCTTTTGTTGAATTATAAATCTATACACTGTTTGACAGTAGTGTACAAACCCAGTATCAAGGTACATTCAATTTACGTATCAGGAATAAAAATTAATATTTAATAAATATAACTTGAATTCTGAATTTCTTCTGTGTCCTCATCTTCGCTACCTGCAAGACCGTTCTCTTCAAGTTTCGGCTTCTTTGTATTTGGTGGTCGTAGCAATTCCTCACCATAAGTCAACCCTAGTTCTTTGTACCGCTTTTCAAAGTACTTCAATAACCTCATACCTGCTCTGTACACGTAACTATTTTTAAAAAGACATAGTCTAACTCCCAAAATCTGTATTATTTTAAATGTTCGGAGGCCAAAGATTTTGATCTTGAATGATTATTGTTTTGGTTGTTTATTGCAATAACTTTTTATATTTCTTTTTAGTTTCGAAGAACATATATTTAAATTATTGCAAATTTTGTGCAATTACAATGAGAGGAATTAATTAAATTTATTCATAAAAACGTGCTTAAAATGTTGATTCTTTTTTTTATAAAAACTAAATGAAACATTAAATATTTAATTGTATATCTTGTTAGTTTATGTTAGTCACAAATCCATGTCCACTTTAGTATTATATACAATTATTGTTACTTGATTATATAAACCAAATATGAATATAAAATGTAATTCAAATCTGTTTTTTATTATATAGATATTAATGTAAAATATTACTCTTGTTAGCAAACACAAAATTCCAGAAATAGTTCAAGCAATTACACCACAAACAAATATTAATCAATATTGTTAGATAATCTCGCAATCTCTGGCATCCGAACTCGTGTATAAAAATATTCGTGCTAGTTATACTCACTTGTAGACTGAACTATGTTCTTCATTATAAGTTTGACAATTTTCAAACACTAATTGACAATCACTGAAGAAATGTTCCAATGTTTCATATTCGTCATTGTTAAGTTTGTACTTAATTGTACCGAAATCCATAGGATTAGAAATAATATCATGATAGTCTGGAACTTCATCTTTTGTGACAGGTGATAGAAAAGGCCATGAATCTCTGTGATGCCTAATATCAGAAAGTAATTCTTGCAGTCTTCCCATGGATCCTTTAATTGTGCCTTTATCTTCTTCTTCTTGTTCAATTTCAGCAGCCCTTTTTGCTGCTCTTCTGGTTTGTCTCGGTTCGGTATCCTCTGAAGTGCTACTATCTACATATTAAAAAGATTATATACAATTAAACATCTATCTTTGGCTTTAAACATGTTTGGATTGATTAATTAACATAAAACGCTACAAAAATTATAATGATCAGTACATTACGAAAATTTAATTTCAACAGTAACAAAGTTCGTTCTTTTTTTATAAAAAAAAAATCAAAATTAATATTTCATTGTGTTGAAAGAATATAAGAATAGGTAAAGAAAAACCTGATTTATCCACATTTACTAATAACAAACAAATGTATAAAGCAATATATCGTTTAATTGTTATATAAATTATTACTATATATTTGTAAAAAAAGGTGTATTTATACTAAAAAATATAATAGTTACAATACAGACCGTCCCAGTCTGTAGATTCTGTAGTGAGGAGGCTCTTGGCAAAGCCATGGATGCGAGAGCGTGCTGCTGCAGCGCACAGTCTCTCCTTGTCCCTTTCCCTTTCACGCCCCCTCACTAACAACACAATTAAAACTAAGAAACTGCTTTATTACATTAGTAGTTCATTAAATTATAATTTACTAAGATGTTAACATGAAACAATAAAATATTACTAAGTAGCATAACGTTTTCACTTTTATCATAACATTTCCAGCCACTGAATTTTTAAATATCTTGTAATTATATTTACCGTATTTTATATTCATTTTTCTGTCTTTCTTATCTTTGCAATCTGAACAAATCCATCTTCCACGAGGCATTCTTGCTACAGGAGGTTCTATACATTCTACATGAAAACATTTTAAACATGTGTCACAACTGATCAATTTTCCACCACTTCTACACACATTACACACATCCATGCGTTGACTACTGCTGAAACATATAATAATTATTAAACGATTGATTCATTTAAAAGATTAACATGTTTTAAAACAATTCTTACACATCTTCCTCACTATCTTCCCCCAGTTCCTCATCTTCTTGATCTTCGTCTTCCTCGCTTTCTAGAATACGTTTTGCACGATTATGTCGAGTTTCTTTGGTTAACATCACGTCTTCTTCTAATTCATCTTCAAATTTCTTTCGCTTTTTAATTTTTTCTTTTGGTTTTGTTGGTGGTTTACATGCTTTACAATACCAATCACCTTCTGGTACATTCTACAGGCAATGTATATGATTATTTACTGCAATATAACGAAAACTAACAGAAAGAACATAAGAGAAAAGAATTACAGTTAGTTTTGGTGTTAAACAATATAAATGTTGGCCTTTATTGCATCCATCGCATAGTAGCATTTTATCACCGTCACGACGCCGCCTACAGATTCGACACCGAGCATGTCGTAAACTTTTACCCCATGCGACACTATTTTCTAGGGTACTGAAATGTAAAAATAATTGAGACCAATTTGTTGATGCCATAAGTGATTCTTCCCATCTTTCTTTGACTTCTTCACCAGACAACTTTTTGTCTTTCTCATTGATAACTAATGTGCCACCTAAGTAAGCTTGCCAAATGGCATGAGATAACTGTAAAATAGCACAAGCCATTTGTTTAATGGCTATTTGTTGTTTAGGATCTGGAAGTATTTCATTTTCACTTGGTGGACCTAAATATTTTCCTGAATCTTTATAAGTTTTTATACTAATACTTCCAACTTCTGAATCTGGAGTTCCTGGTCTGCTATGCTTGGCTTTGTACTTAACTTTGTCTAATGTCACATTAGGAGCAGTATCTGCTTCAACCTCATTTGTACCATACACTAATTTATCACATTGTTTATCATATTTCATGTTATTAATTGCATTCCTCCATGCTTCTCGATCATTGACTTTCAAAAGTCCCACAGCACACCCTTTTATTCTATCTTCGAAATCTAGAATATAATCTCTTAGAGTCAGTTCTAGAACATCATTTACTGACATTTCAGTACAAAAGTTTAAGTTAGCATTTTCATATTTGTTCTTTTTTATAGTTTTATTAGGATATTCTTTAATAGGTTCTGAAAACTGTATTCAAAATTTACACATAATTTTTACTTAACTACAACGTTTTTAAAAGATTAAAAGTATATTAGAAGATACATACGATTTCAGGATTAAGTTTATGTCTAGGACAATCTTTGATCATAGACATTAAACTTGTCTTTATTTGTATAATATTATTTCTGAGTTTACCCTCTCTAATTCCTCGTTTACTTAAACCATTTATTAAAGCTTCTATGTCTTCCTCATTTCCGAAAAAATACCATTTTTCTTCTGACCTTTGCCAATGTACTGGACATTCTTTGTCTCCTGTGCAAGCCATTAAATTTTTTCTAATATCGGATAGCTCTTGCTTAATCTCTTTTCGAGGTACGTCTTTTCTTGGAGATTTAAGACCATTTTTGTCAGAAAATGAAACTCTTTTAGGAGATTTTTTTGCTTTTTTAAAACTATTTTCTTTATCACTAAATTCATCTTCAAATTTATTTTTTAAATATGCGTATGTAGATTCTCCATCTTGTAATTCTGGTTGATAAGGGGTACCATCAGGAAAGCAATTACCAAGCCACATTTCATCATTCTCTACGAATATTCCTATATATAAGAAACAAATGAAATTCATAAATGTACACTTTATTAGACTTGAACAATTAGAACAAACTAACCTGGTATTGACAAAAATCTCCAGTATCTACGATGAGCTCTATCAGATCCTAAATAAAGCATCATTTTGTCATCTGTAGATGCTTCTTCAAGTTCTTTTAATTTATTTTCATACTCTTCTTTCTTTTTTCCCTCCTCACAAGTGCCACGTGTAACTTTCTTTGGTACTTTGCTTTCTTTATCTTTCTCGCGTTCTCTCATTTTTTCCTTCTCTTCTTTCTCTTTCCTTTGTTCAGCTATCAAAAAAGACTTTAATTCTTTTTTTGCTTGATGAAGTTTTTCACGTCTTTCTTCAATTACATCTCGTATTGAAGCAAAAGTAAGTAATTGATCTATAAGACACGTGGCTACTTTTAATTTTTCATTTAAATCAAATTCGTGAACGTCACGATGACCCAATAATCTTAAAATATATGCCTCGTTTATCCTCATCAGAAGTGCGGGATCATCTTGATTTGTATATCCCCCTGCAGGAATTGAAATTATATATAGCACTGAGTAATGCTTTGATTCATTAAAATTATATAAATATATACCTCTTTGAGAATATCTCCACTTAGTAGCAACTTCGCCCATTCTTCCTCCAGAACATAATAAATGTTGCCTTAAAATTTCACTTACAGTTACGTGATCTAATGTCAATTCAGATAAATCGCAACCTTGATGTATTTGACACCAGCTGGAAGCAATTGTAGCTAATTTTACAGCTTTTTTCATTGATACTCCTTCATACATTTTAGTATCACTTGTTATATCAGATGCTTGAGCATGAATTTCATCTTCTTCATCTGCTTGATATTTAAAAATGTTTGCTAATAGTAATTGTAAGAGATCACTCCAAGGTCCAGATGCTTCTTTTACTAACAATGCTTTTTCTAACAAGTCTAATGTAAAACCGTTTGGGAAATATGCACTGACTTCTAATTCATTGTTAAAAAATTCTAAAAATTCTAGAATCATAACACTATCACCGAATTTTTCATTAGGTATGCTAGTCTTAACCGGTGTAGGTTGTGGAATGGGGGAAAGATTTTCGCATTCGAGATCCTCCCTTGGTTTGTTCCATTGCTTTACATATGCAGCCAAAGCTGCTTGTTTCTGCTTTTCCTCCTTTTTACGTTCAATTTCCAAAACTCTTTTTTCTTTGCGTTTTTTTGCTTTCTCTTCAAGAGCTTTTGCTTTCCCTTCAAGAGCTTTTGCTTTGAGATCTTCTTTAAATTTTCCATTCATTCTATTAACAAATTTTATACTATTAATATGCTGCTACAAAATTTCAAATTGTCCTTAATGTGATATATATTGTCTTACCTTGGTTTCCTAAACTTTTTTATATCTACTCCTCCTTGATGCACCTTTTTAAGAGGATCAGGCTTTTCTACTGTCTTCTGTTTTGATACATCTGATGTAAGAAATTTATCTATTGATTCTTGCTTGTGTTTAACAGATTTTTTAACACGTGATGTAAAATCAGGAGGGGGGCCAGCAAATATAGTGTCAAAACGTACTTTATTAATACCATACTTTTGTAAAACACTATCCTAGAAATATATAAAACATGTTTTTATTAACATGCTTGATGGATTTTGGGGATTTTTTTCATCAAAATAATTACTAACTTTAACAATCCATATTCCACTTTCATTCAGTTCACATAATTGACGTAAAAATATTTTATTACGTTCTTTACTGTAGTGTTGTTTCCTTCTTCTCACTTGTGTTGCTTCTACTATCATAAGTTGACTGACATCAGAATCTCCAGAGTCTAACTGTTCCACTTCATAACGAAATAATTTTGCAGGTGGATGATACTGTTGTTCTTGTGGATTCCTATGCAATAAATAGATATAAACATAATGTTAGTTCAACAGGTACTTGTATAAGGAAAACATATCTACCTGTTGTTTTCCTTAGTATATGATTTAATTTGTTGTTCTGAAGGTGCAATAACTTGTAGAACATGACAGTCACACCAAGAATCCTCGGTAAAACTTGCTTCTACCATTTCTCCTACAAAATAACGATCCCTTGCAAATTGATATACATCTTCTATCATTTCATTAAAAGATGATCTGTTTGTTTTACTGGCAAGGTATAATATAGGAATACGTAGCTATAATATAAAATGTATAATTAACAAAGTTAAAATTATCACATATAGCAATAAACTTTATGATTAGGTATTATACCTCCATAGGAAATTCTTTAAGGCTTTTTTTTGCATTTTCTTCACATTGTAAAGCCTCTTCATAAGTCATGTTAGTTCTACCTGTTATACTACATGACCATATAAGTGAATTGCATAAAATAATTCTTTCACAGAATTCACTGTAATCACAATACATATAAAAACATTATACATACAATGTTATTAATTCAAGATAATTCAGTGTATGATTTCCTTAAATAATTATCCAGCATTTGAGTAATGACGCCGTACATAAACGATCGAAATCTATACAGCGTACTTCTCAGTTTAATCTATTCATTATAAACTAAACGGATATACGAAAATGAAACGTTGACGAATATCTCGATTTATATGTTCATGATAATCGAGATGAGCGGACAAGATAAAATTGAAAAGACACAAAATATTTATACGTAAGAAATGAAACTGTCGAAACTAGAGAACGTATTTCAAATTGGTCTCAGCTGTCATGGTCTTACTTGTAGTCCTTGAAGATTTCGTTGGTAACCTCGCAATGGAAAACTTCATCGTCGTCTTTGAAGTCTGAAGAGACATGTAGTCGTTGAAACGGTTGTTTACGAAGAAGTGGCATGTCAACACTTATAAATCTATCAATATAATGATGTAATTCTCGTTTACGTTTCTGGTAAGTTACAAATCAATTCTGCGTCGAAGATAGTGCTATACTCTTTCCGGAACACCGCCAGGCACATGCGATGCACGCTAACTTATAAACGCACTTTAAGCTTGAAACACTGTTAAACTTTCACTAAAATTGTTATAATTCACTTGCTTCGAAATTTTATCTATTCATATATGTTGAACATAAATCTTTGATATTATTTTACGAAACATTTCGAGTCTCATGACAAAGCACGATTTAACGGTGCTCGTGGAAGCGCGCATTCACATCTGGCACCTCAAAGCCGGAAGCCAATAAAAAGAATAACGCTACCAACATAAAATTCTTATTTAAAACGCGGGAAATAAAAATGATTATCTAATAATGTTTGTTGCACTAATATATATAGAATTTTCAACTCGACAAATGTTTCTGTTTTCAGTTTTTCTATATGGTGCAAACATTTTCAGTATGGTGCAAACATCATGAAAAGATATAAAAATAAATGTAATACATTTTTTTTTGAAGTTGGTAATTAGTATCCGGTCTAAATATGTAAACTGACTACATTTGGCGGGAATCATTCACACTTCCATTGAACGAAAATTATTTAAAACAAAAACATTTTAAACTGTTATTTTAACTATTTTATTTTTAGTATGAAATATTATTCTAACCATTCTGTAATGTACTGGCACTTTGTAGGTGTAACATCACCAACATCACAACAATTTTTCCTCACCTGCATTTAAATGTTTTTATATTATCATTAAATCATCAATAATTCAAACGAATTTTCATTAAAATATAAAGAAAAGGATTAAATTAAAAAAGAAACTTACGGGACAAACACCACAAGTAGATTTAATTAATCCAGGTGGATTTAACAAAGGTTCTACTGCCCTATATAAAGTGTTACCATCACCTGAAAGAGTACGTTCTACTTTACCATCATAAACTAAAGTGTTTAATATCATTTCCAAGTCTTCAACTGATAACTTTACCTATAAATAATTATATTTTTTCTATTGAAAAAATATGCATATGTATCATTTAAAGAAAGTTACAATAGTTACTCAAACCTTGCTTATTCCTAAATCAGAAATAAATTTCCAAACTTCTTTGGATGAAGCAAATGTAACATTTCTAGCCATAATTGGCCCACCTCTACAAGCATTCATTTGTTCTCTCTTTTTTTCTAAAAATCTATAACATTGTTGATTAAGAACATCAACAAATTCTGCCTCAAAATCCTGATCTTGATACCAAGCACCACCAGTCACAGATGTGTCTGGTTCTAAATTGTAAAGCATGTATACTTTTTTCTTGCTTGCTGCAACTGACTTAACAGCTTTAATAAATTTCTTAGTTTCTAAGCTTTTCAGAATTTTATTCAATTGAGTTGGCATTAGATTGGATTTGAATCTTATATCACGGATCCAGATTCCTTTGTTTCCTGCCTCTTCAATTATTGAATATACAATCTTCTCTTCATTGTCTGCACCTTTAGCTATTTTTGCTTTAGAAGGATCTTTCAAACGGTATAACAAGGAACCACCTTGCTTAAATAGATCAAAGTGACCCTGAGATAAAAGTTTATTTATTATTTGAGCTTTTTGAGCAGGTTGTAAATCTGGTATTTCAACTGTTAAATCTTTATCAGATATTCCTTTTGGTCTTGTTTGCGCTAATGCAATAATTCTGAAATATGAAATACCATATTTAAATATTTATTAAAGCCTTTTTCCTTTATGCAATAACATAAACATTTATCTGATTTGTAGTATGCGCGAGCAACATAAGAAAGGTAACCTATTAATTAGGTATGTCATAAATGTCACTAGTTTGTAGTAAAAAACCATAAAGAATTACTTTTGTTCAATTGCTTCTAATGAATTTGTATCTGCATTGATTGCATCTTGTTCCTTCGAAGTGCTGGCTTCCGTTTCCATCGAACTTTTGAAACGTTAAATGGTACACGATCAACTTGATTATTTTTAGTGCCTGTTAGGTTAGGTTCTCATGCTTTTATTATTTATCAATAATAATAAAATTGAATACGGGGAACAAAATATGGAAAGCCATTTAAATGGATCTGATAGTGAAGATTCCTTGAATATTGCTGCTAAAGATTGGAATCGTATTACTGATGTTGCCAAAAAGGTATTGTTTACATATTATTAAATTTGAATTAATATAAACGTTGATTTTAAATGTACTATCCTTCTTTAAAGAATGGTTACAGAGAAGGAGTACAAGATGGATCAGACTTTGCTTTTCAAGATGGTTTTGATGCAGGATACTTAGGAGCTTTCCATGCTGCTTTCATTTTAGGAAAATTTAAAAGTTTATTGAACAGTATGCCGCAGGATATTGAACATCCATCAAACGTAAATGAAATTCTTAAAGCAACTAGAAGAGGGGCATGCTACATGTGTATAACAGACTCTCAGGGCACCAACAACATACAAAAGTCTTCTTCTCAAATCATTAAAGAACAGAAAACATATTCTATGAATGTTCTTAAAACACTGTTTAAATATTTTCAACCATACATCGAACAATTAAATATTAGTGACACGGATATATTACAAATACAAAATTATGTTCCAGAAGTAGAAGACAATTAATTCATCAATCAAAATATAGGTTTTGTATTTTTTATTAGCGTTTATGGTATTTTTACGTTTGAATTGTAAATAAAGAATATTAATGATTTTTTTTTATAAATATAACCCTTCGGGAGAACCTTCTTTTTTCCGATACAAAACGCTCTCTTTAGATTTTTTGAAATCATCACTAGTGACTTTCATACGACGTTCACGTAGTGCCATTAAACCAGCTTCAGTACATATAGCCTGTAAAACATAAATATCCTTTAATGTTTTGTTATATCCTTTTTGACTAAAATATAATTTAATTGTCTTACCTTTATATCTGCACCTGAAAGATCATCTTTAGCCATAATTAATTCTGTTAAATTTACATCAGGTGCTAAGGTCATCCTACTAGTGTGAATGCTGAAAATTCTTCTTTTCGTCTTTTCATCCGGCAAGGGAAATTCTATTTTTCTATCAATGCGACCTGGTCGAATTAATGCTGGATCTAAAGTCTCAATTCTATTTGTTGCCATTACAACTTTAACGTCTCCCCGACTGTCGAAACCTAAATGAAGAAAGACATTTAATTATTACATGAAATATAATTAAAATATTACAGTTTAATTCAAAATATTTTTCATACCATCAAGTTGATTGAGAAGTTCTAACATGGTTCTTTGAATTTCACGTTCTCCTCCACTATTGCTATCATATCGTTTTGTACCTACAGCATCTATTTCATCTATGAAGACAATAGAGGGAGCATGTTCTTCTGCAACTCTAAATAATTCTCTGACAAGTTTAGGACCATCTCCTAAATATTTTTGTATAAGCTCAGAACCAACAACTCTCAGAAAAGTTGCTGAAGTCTGATTAGCAACAGCTTTTGCCAATAATGTTTTTCCAGTTCCTGGTGGACCATATAGTATGACTCCTTTTGGGGGTTTAATACCCATTTCTTCATAATATTCTGGATGTGTCAAAGGTAATTCTACAGATTCCTTGATTTCTTGAATTTGTGTATCAAGTCCTAAATAGTGAAACACATTTATAAATATCTATTGTTATACAGATTTCTAATATCAATATAAATGTTACATACCCCCAATATCAGCATAAGTTTCTTGTGGAGCTTTTTCTAGTTTCATTACTGTAACCATGGGATCTGTATCATCACCTAAAACTCCAACAACAGCATGAACTTTATGATTTAACAAAACTGAACATCCAGGTTCTAGTTGATCCTTATCCACAAATGATAAGATTGATACATAATGCTCAGAACCAACGGATGTGGAAACTATAGCATGATTATCATCAATTATTTCTTCTAATGTTCCAACAGACATTGGAGTTCCACGTAAATCATCAACTTTAGACCTCTCTTCCTCATTTTTTTCTTCTTGTGGTTTTAGTCTTTCTTGGTTCCTAATAAACTCCTCTTCCATCAACAAATAATCTTTTATACGTTCTAATTTCAAAAGCTTCAATCTGCAACGGGTATGTGGTGTAACTTGTGGTAGCTTCAAAGCAGCATCTGGCCCTTTTGTACGTCTCTTCTTTTTGCCGACTCTTGTTGGAATAGGTGGTTCATACTTCTTTTTCTTATCTTTATCATCCTTCTTATCACCTCCCGTACCACCAGTACCAGATTGATTTTGTCCCTGTTACAATAATACAGTACTAAGAAAATATTAAGTTTATTTAACACATTTTGAAATAATACTTGACCAAAAAAAATTTCGATTAAAGTAACCTAAAGTGTCAAATAGTAAAAGTATACTAATTTAACAAACAGTAAATTTAATAATTGTAAATTTTGTTAAACATTTTACTATAATTTATTTGGAACAATAAAAATTCCTTAATTTGTATTTATTAAAGAAAATGTCAGAAAAGTTACCATCTCACGTTTACTGTTTGGTCGTGAATCGAAACGGCGAAGTCATCCCCATTGAGTGAACAGAATCGATTATTATCTCGATATCTTTTTTTATAATATATCGAAATAATTCGATATATCTAAACAGCGTTAATTCAAAAAGCGTCCTACCGGTACCATCTTATGTCTGAAGTATATCTAAAGTTGTAGGAAATGAGGATTAATAATTAACAATATATTCTTTTCTGAACTGTGCAAATAGGTATATTACTCAAATTTTTAATAGTGATGTAACATACTAATAACATTGAGTCATTTGTAAGGGAATGATTCAGTATCGTTTGTTTATTGAAGAACAATAATTTACACGATTGCATTCGACAATAGTTAATACTAAGTGCAAAGTTACATCTCTATAAAAAAAAATGTAAAAATTTTCATTCAATCCCACACGCTTTGAAAATGTAGGAATGACAAATTTCTTTTTCAAAAAACTGTATATAGAGTGTAGTATTTGTGAATATAATTTAACAATGTTGACAACATATAGATTCGTGAAATTTTATTTCAGTATTTAGATACATTTATCTTCGCAATAAAGTATCTCGGTCTAGCTTTGCGGTTATCGCTTCTTTATAACGTCTCAGTGATCAAGGCCATCAGAATAAAAATAAATACCATTAAAGATAAAATGATTATTACAAAAACGTGTGGATGTTTTAAAAATGTAAATATATAATGCGTGTTCAACTTTTGCACCATGTATTGCAAGACTGAATAATAATAACATGTTATCCAGCAATGTAAAATGTTAGAAATGTTTTTAACGTGAAGGAATACAATTTTTTATACTTCATAACAATACCAAATAAATTATAAACAAGAAATATTTTAGATTGTATACATATAGTTGTCTAAATAAAAGATTTCGCATCATCTAGCATTTAATTTGCGTTCCTTTTTTCCATTACTATGTAGTACACTTTAACTTTATGCCACAAAAATACTAAAATATACATTTTATTTCTCATGCCAATAATGTTCTCTTCTATTGAGCTTTTATTTGAAGTTTCAAAACCTTATGAAGTGGCAACTGTCATGTCTCACGTTATTGAAAAATCGATTCATATTGCTTATTATTGTGACGAGTAAATCGAAATAGTTTGTTAATAAGGTAAAGTTTCTTTGGTAAAAATACTTTATGTTATCTTCTTTGTGTTTGTTATCTATTTTTTTTACTTTCGTTTATCACAATGATTAATAAGTATTTGAGAACATGTTTTTAAGTAAAAGCCTCGATGAACAAAATATAATACAACGTGTACAAAATGTTCTAAATGTGATGAGAGGCGTATTTGAAGCGATTTAATAAAAATATTAACGAGGCCTAAAGGCCAGCTAAAATAATTCTAGGATCTTCCACAGCTTCCTTGATTTTTCTTAAGAACATTACAGCCTCACGTCCGTCAATTAATCGGTGATCATACGTTAAAGCTACGTACATCATTGGACGAATTACAACCTACAAATTATTAATATTTTTAATAACAGTTTGTATTGAAAAAAAACTTATCAATGTTTACCTCGCCCTTTACTGCAATGGGTCTATCGAAAACTCCGTGCATTCCAAGAATTGCACTTTGTGGTGGATTAATAATTGGCGTTCCCATTAGAGAACCAAAAACACCGCCGTTACTTATTGTAAATGTACCACCATCCATATCTTCAACAGATATTTTGCCTTTTCTTGCTTTATCGCCTACAGCTGCCAAAGCAATTTCAATCTCTGCAAAATTCTTGTTTTCTACGCTGCGAAGTACTGGGACCACAAGCCCCTTTGGTGTTGCAACTGCGACACTAATGTCTACATAGTCTCTGTAAACTATGTCAGTGCCATCTATTACAGCATTTACTACTGGTTGATCTTTTAAAGCGTAAGAACTTGCCATAATAAATGGACTCATAAATCCAAGTTTTAAACCATATTTCTTTGTGAAACTTTCTTGATGTGTTTTACGAAATTCCATGATGCGACTATATAAAAAATATTCTTAATTAATAATCATAAAAAATACTAGAAATCAGTACTATTATGGATACATAATAACCTCATGTCAATTTCATTAAACGTTGTCAACATAGCATTCGTATTTTGAGCGTCTTTTAATCGTTCGGCGATACGTAAACGCATTCTATTCATTTTTACTCGCTGTTCTGTTCTTGTACCAATTATTTCGCGTGTATAATCAGCAGGAGGTAGTTGTACTTTTGCGCCTTCTAAAGCCTGAAAATCATCGTATAATGAAGGAAAAATAACATTAATGTTCAATTCTACTTATACAATTGTACTCACTTGAGCATGCTTAATTGCAGCAACTGGCATGGAAGCTGCAGGTGCTTGTGGAGGTGGAGGTCGAGTCGCTGGAGGTGGTACAGCTGCAGAAGGAGGTGAAGGAGGTTGTGGTGGTGGTGGTGGTGGTGGTGACGGCGGCGGTGGTGATGGTGGTGGAGGTGCTGCTGCACTAGGTGGTGGACTTGGGGCCTTTGGAGCAGCTTTGGGAGCTTCTGAAGGTGGAGCTCCACCAGTTGCACCAATGTCAATAATACATAGTTTTTGTCCTGGCTTTACTGTTTCACCATCTTTTGCAAAAATTTCTTTTATAACACCAGCACCTGGTGCTGGTACAGGAACTGAAGTCTACAGAAAAATTATTATAAAGTCATTCAATTATAAAATATTTGCATTATCCATTAGTTGACTTATTTCTTTATTTTACCTTATCTGTTTCAATTTCACATAAGACATCATCTTCTTTAACTTGATCACCAACTTTCTTGTCCCATCTGACATCTCCTTCACTTACACTTTCTGCGAATGCTGGTACTACAACTTCTTTTATTTCCCCTGTCATATACAAGTATAAGTTATGTAAGTATTTATTGTTCTATTTTGAGTATATACTTTCCTGCCAAAAGTTCACTTACATAGTGTAGATGTTGAATGAATATGTCTTGCCTGGTCTATCCAACAGTGATATTTCTTATATTTAGTACATCTAGATGGAGATATTTATTGTATTAAAATTTTCCAATTAAATTAAATATTAGCATACATTTGTATATCTTAAACAAATATTTAAAAATGTTCATATCTTAAAGATATTTAATTTTTTTGATATACTTCTTAACTTACAATCGAGAGTTCTTGCTGACCACATGTTGGGTGTGGATAAATAGTATGTGCCCTACAAAAATGATTTGATACAATTAATAGTTTATGTTCATGGTTATCCCCAACGTTGATATGCCTCTCTATAAAGATAATGTTTTTAGATTTTCAATATAGCTCACCACTCCTCTAATGTGTCATTTGTATTTAGTAGTCTTACCTGGACTATATAAATACATTATAATATAAAAATGGGGTACATATGAGGATAGATAAAAATAGGTATTGTCTATATTAGAAAAATAACCTTGACTTTAAGTTATAAACAGCCTAAAGTCAATGGAAATCTGCTTAATTGCTTAAAAAGGGAGTTTGCATTTGACGGTTACGAAAAATTTTATAATTTTTCATTGACAGATTGCAGTTGATAGATTAAGTCACGAATTGTAACGTGTTAAGATGCTATTACATAATCGATGCAATAGGTAAGGGTAGTATTTCGACAGCCTTGGTGGCAGGTTCTACTTGAAAGGGCGTTAGGTCCTTCTTACCTAATATATGTCACAGATGTTTCAAAATTACTAATAGAGAAAAAGCTAAAATTATAAGAATGCTCACCTTGGTTTGTGATATACTAATTCTTGTTATTACACGAGGCACAAACCGCGAATAGTTAGACAGCATCGCGGCCATCCTCAAATGGGAAATTATAACTAGATGTTCGCTCTTAACTCTCGTGATGGTATGGAAGCAGTACGGGCTGGTACATTCACTGGTGGGGCAAGTTTGCTACCGCAATTGCGTGTTCTGAAATTTGCCACTATTGGGTTCCAAAAGGCACAAAAAAACGTTAATCATAAATTTAAACAAGAAAGATAATAGATATTCAGCAAATAAACATTCTAATGATTAAAGAATTAAAGTTATTTGTTTAAAAAACTAACGAGATTAATTTGATGTTACAAAAATAGTATCTTTCCGTTACTGAAGATATCTCCGCGTTTTTTTACATAAATGTTTAAGTTTTGTCTGTTAGTAACGGAAGATAAATAAAGTAATCGTAATTGTATGGATGATTTATTTATATTACAATTGAGCAAATTCAGTATATTTTATTGTGTAAAAATATTTACAGAAGAAATTACAAAAATATCTTTGCTGTCCCTAACAGGTCACTTTATTATAAATTGTGACATTTAATAATATCAAGGAAGTTGTCGATATTGTTATTAATTTATCTTATTAAATTCATCTAACTTATAAGATAATTAATTAGTCTGAAAAATAATATTACAAATGTGAAATTACGTTTGAATTAAACGCGAACAATCTAATATGTTGGTAAGTTTATGACTGAATTTGGGTTTTTAAACATGAGCAGTGAGGATGTAATTAAATGAATGGAGTACGGCGCGGTGGTTGTGTATTGAAGCATATTTGTTTTAAGTACGACACGCGACAGCGCTTGAGCATTTATTATCACGTAAAGAAGTTTAAATTTTAAAGAAATATTTTAGTTTAATACAACCATCTGACAGCAAAGTACGTGTTGTTTATCGAGATTGGCGAAATTTATTGTGCAACATGGCGATTATATTTGAATAATAAGTGCACGTCGTTTTGTTGTTATTTCACTTACGTCGCAGAGATTATGTATTTTTCTTGTGATCATATAACGAAATATGTGTATAGTGATTGTGATATGTATTGTTACAATTGAAATTCATAAGAATTGAATAATATCAGTCAGAAAGTCTAAGAAGTAAAGGGAAGATTAAGGAACAAACAGAATAGTCCTTTCTGCATGTTTTGTGCACAAATTTGATCTATTATATATAGTAGGTTCTAATCATTCAGACTTTTGTGTTAATAATTGTAAAAACATTAGAATGTGCATTACTGCAAATATACAAATTTCTATAAAGTATTTTTTTTCAAAAGTTAAGAAGACCCTAATTAAATGAACTATGCAGCATGTAAACATTTATGTAATAATATTAGTGTATTTTAGGAGTTACATGACTGTTGAAAGAACTGTAAGCTCAAATGCACTGTGATAATTAAAGTGTCATAATTAACAGTGTGATGAGCAGCAGTGGATACCGTGGAAGAAACTTTGGACCACGGGGAGCTCGTTCAAATGGTCCAACCAATGGCTTTAATGGCCCCAGATTTCTACACCCTAGCTTTAATCATCCACGACCACCACATAGGTTACCTGGACCTGAAAAATGGATAGAACGTCCAAATTTTGTACCATGGCAACAAAGTAAAAATTTTCTTCCTCATCCACAATATAGAGGTAATTTACAATTTCGACCAAACAATAGAGGTAGAGCAGCAGGTGGTCATGGAATAGTGAGATTCTCTGGTCCTGGTAGACCACCAGCTCCTCAATCTTGTATGGGCTTTATAAGAAATCCTATATCTAGAGCACCATTACTTCAAGAAGAACAAGTTGAAATTAAATCTACATTAGTACCACAAACTCCTTTGCCTGGTTCTGAAGAAGAACGTCAGCAAAAGATTTCTGAAACAGCTGACAAGTTAAAGCAGAAATTATCATCTATAACAGAAGAAGAAATTACAAACTTTTGGGAAGATGATTTGTCTGTTTTGCCAAATAATGGTTCTGAAGAGGAAAATACTTTAAATAAAGGTATCCCTGAGCTTAGACATGAGCCACCTGAATTGGATTTGACATTTTCTGACTTTAGGGATATAGGCAGGGTTGATTGCAATAATTCAAAATTTGAAACTGTAGATAATAAATCTAATGATGAGAGTCAAAGTAGTTTTGAGCAGAAGCCTACAGATAGTAGTACAAGTACAAATGATGAAATTACTATTATATATGAAAATAAAGGTGAAACATTGATCAGTTTGAATTCAACACTTGATAAAGATGATTTAAATCAATCTATTATATTATTGGAAGATGATAAATGTCATGAACAGATACACAATGAATTACTAAATTTTGAATGCAATGTAGAAACTATACAGTTACATGATGATAATATTGCAGAAGGTATAATACCATCAAATTTAAATGATGCTGGTGAAAAGTCATTAACTTCAAATTTAGATGAAAATATCGCAAATTTGACATCAATAGAATCAGTGAATGATTTAACAATAGAAAAATCTTTGGTTGTAAATGATATAGAAACATCTTCTATATCAGTATCAACCACAGACAGTCAAAATGCATTACAAGTAGACTTTTCACAAGATCAAAACATTGTGCAAACAGATATACAAAATACAATTAGAGATGTTATACAAGATACCAATGTGGATGCACATCACAATGATTATGCAGAGACAAACTTACTCGAGGATAATCAGATTCAAAATAATTTACAAACAAATGACTCTCAAGAAATGGTTTGTCCAAATTTGTCAATTATATCTGATTCTTCTCAACAAAAATCATTTAATATTCCACCTTCTAATGAAGAAATTCATTCAAATACTATCTGTGATTCGACATCTACAGCATATTCAAATTATAGTGAAGAACATAAATTAAGTGATGATAAGAAGATAAATAATTCACCTGTTTTTCAATCAAGAGTTTTTAACATACCTCCTAGGTTCACTCCAAGAATTCTTGGGTCTAGATGTCGTTGGACATTTCAACAAAATGGAAAGAATTTATTTTTTAGAGGATCACAAAGATTAGCTTTTCATGGTAACCGAATGGCTTCATCAAGGCATATTGCACCAGTTCCAGTTGGATTTGATCCAAGAGCACCACCACCATTTACACATAATGTACCTGTTTCAAGTCATGACTCTCAGCACAATACATTAGTGCCATTTTCTTCTATTGATTTGCTTCCTGCATTTGATCCAAGTGAACCTCCACCAAATATAAGATCTAAATCAGTGACTGAACCATGTAATAGGCAAGAAAATATACAGACTACACCTTCTGTGGATTCAAGAAGTCAAGCAGTAAATAATTCACAAAGTAATATACAAATTATGCAACCACCACCTGCCTTTGATCCTAGGGGACCACCACCTAGAATTCCAAATGTGACAACTAGTGAAAAATTACCTGAATTTAATCCTCAACAACCACCACCAAAAATTCATAAACGGAATGAAACTCTTCAACCCCCACCAATCTTTGATCCACGACTATCTTCTCAAGAACGTTCTAATTTAATTGCTCCATTAAACTCTTCTAGGTCAAACATGATGTCAATGAATTTAATGGAAACATCACAAGTGTCGGACTTCAATATTGGTCCAGTTGCACCAAATTTTTCACAACTACCACCTATGAACATACCATCACATCAACCTTTCATTTCTAATGTACACATGAATTTTCAGCCTGTTTTACCACAAACAAATAGTGGACAACAAATAATGAGTGAATTTGCTTTGCCTCCACCACCTATAAATGTTACTGAAGTTCCTCCACCACCTCCAACAGAACTTTCAGTGGAAAGTAATTCTAATCTTAATCAAAGTATAAATATGGATGATGGGTTAGAGGATATGCAGGAAGCAATGGAGTTTGCAAAGCAGATAATGAATATGAGTGAAGAAATAAAGAATGAAAATGTATCATCCATGTTATCTGAATTACCATTGGCACCATCAGAAATTCCTGTACCAAATGAAACTGTACCTTATTCTTCATTAATAGAAGAGGTACCTATAAATACTACAAGGAAACAAAGAAGAAAAGAAAGTAAAAATAAAAAAAGTAAACAAAATATAGTTTGTGGACCAGAATTCATTCTTGAAAGACAAGAGGAGATTGTGACAATAGATGAGGAACAAAATGTACAAAATCAAAGTAAAAATACTGAAGATACATTATTGTCAAATGATCAAATAAGACCCAAAGTGGTGTTCAATTTAAATTCAAAAACGAAGAAAATACAGAAACCAGAAGAATGGCACAGAATTCCTATAAATATTTCTGAAAATAGGGAAACTTCTCAACAAGGTGCAGTTCAGAATTCTAATAAAGAAAAGGCACAGACTAAAAGACATTCTTCTGAAAGTAGAAGAAGTAATACAAATCAAAACAAAAGTCAACAAAAGGAGAGCAGTGTTAAAATGAACTCAGTACACTGTGCATCAGTCATAAATATTTCAATGCATGAAAAATCAAATGATACATCTTATCATAAAGATCATAGTAGAGATTTGGAAAAACTACATCCACATTCTTCAAACACACCAGACTCTAATAATACAAACACACAAAAAAATCAAAAGACGAAAAAAGAGTCTAGGAAGTTAGAAGCTCCTACTTCAGAATCTTCTTGGAAAAATAGAGTGATCAACCGTTTTCTTAAAATGAGTAAAAATGATATTTGCAATATGGTTAACAATTCCAGTCTTCGTAAATTTGATATTGCAATGAAACATTTGGTAAAAGAAAGGAAGACTTCCCTTTCTTTAGAAATGAGGAATACAGAGGATGAAAAAATGAAGGAGTATGATAGAGAGGAATTCATGAATCAGTTAAATGCAATGTTAGATCCAAGTGCTGTTGTGGGTATTACAGATCTACCTACAGAATTCATTCATCATCTGAGTGAAGTTTTACAACTTGATCCTATGCCATTTGATGCTGAATTGTCAGAGAATCAAACTGCAGGTGTTGATGAAATTACTACAAAAATTATTTTTAATCAGGATGAAAATTCAAGAATACATATTTGTGACTTTTCAAATGAGGAGAATGCAAAAGTTCAATCTTTTACTGAGTATTCAGAACCACAGAATATCTGTGAAGAACTGGTAGAAAATAAACTTTTATACAAGGAAGATCTTATTCATTATCCTCTGAACTCAGAATTGAATTTAAACATTTCACGGGAAGACACTAATTCGTCGCAGAGATCACTGTCGAATAAAATAAATCCTGAAGTCGAGAACACGCATAAAAAGCAACAACAGCCATTATTCAATGAAGCTGATCTGGACGATATACTGTCAGAAGTTACAGAAAGGACAAAGAATTTACCAAATACGATTTCGTCGCTGGGACTGGACAAATCCATTGAAACACGCACAGGTTCCTCATTGCCGCAAACAGTAACGGAAGCTTTTGAGTATAACACTTTCTCGCAAATTCCTAATAAAACGGCAGCTGATCTCGATGACATTTTTTCAGCTGGGATCGCTCGGGTCAAACTGCTTGGTAAAAGTAATGTGGATTCGGATAATTTAAGAGCACGCAAATCCAGCTCAGAGGATCGAAATACTTTCAGACCTGAGAGATACGAAAGATGGAACAGAAAAGAACGAGAAGATCCGGATGCGTTTAGAAATCTGACAAAGGAAGAATGGGAGGCGAAGTATGGGTTAACGACAAATGTTACGACAACTCCAATCATCACACGCAAAAGTGCATCCAACAGTGTTGAAAATTTGACTAAGGACAACAGAAGTCTTCATGCTCAAAGATATTGCTCGTCGGATTCACCAATGAGGCACTTAAGCATAAGTCCTTTAACTCGTGAATCTTCTATGCATAATGTGGATAGATGTACCACCAGTCGTTCCAACGAGATAGAAGAATTACAAAGGGTAGAACGATCAGAAAGCAGTACTGATTCCAGTACTAGTAGCTCAAGCGATAGTGACGAAGAGACTGTCGCTCCCAATGTAACGAAATTGTTGAAAGTGATCAAGGAAAAGGAGAAGATTGCGAAGAAAAAATCATTGAATGAAACGATTAGGGACGAGGTAGCTGCTGAGATAGAGAAAAAATGGAAAGAGAAGAGCAAGCATAAAGAGCGTAAGTTTCGCAAACGTGAAAAGAGGAAAAAAGATAAGAGAGAGAAACGGAAGAAGGAAAAGAAAAAAAAGAAAAAGAGAAATTCCCATTCTGATTCGTCAAAGTGTAGCGAACAAATTGAAGGGGGATTCCGATTACTGACAGAGGATGAGATAAAGAAAGAGGTAGTCGTCAAGGAGGAGCCAGTAAATTCATTTGAGGAGAGTGTTTCATTTAACAGTGGAGCCAGTAACACTTATGTTGTTCCTACTTCGGTTAATAGTAAAGCAGCTGATTTACGAATCGAATCTCAAAGTTCAAACATAGAAATAGATCAAGTTCCTGCAGTTACCTGTGATACAGTTTTGTCACAAATCAAGAGCAAGCCACCTGTTATTGTTACAATGATGCAACCAAAGACAAAGGCACAACTCAAACAAATGCCAGAGTCCACTAATATAGAGCAGAGGCAATTAATGGAAAAGTCAACTGAAATTGCAAAGGATAATGGTATAATGAGTATCAATAATGATAGAATGAAAGACTTTTTGGACACGAATAAAGATGACAAGACAGCAAACAGTAGTAATGAACAAATAGATACCGTTTCGTCCATGAACATTTCTTTATATCAAACTAATGTATCATTGAATATCAAAGAACCATTTTCGTCCATTCAGTCACTTATTGAAACTGTTTCTGATAATACGACTGCGCACGCGACATCATTTATAAATCTTAGTGCTGAAATAAATGCGAGTAATCAGAGTACTGATCAGAAAATGTTGCAAATAGCAACAAAAGCTTCTTCTGTGGAGAACAAAAGTGGTAACTATAAAAAAATAGACATAAAGGCGTATAAGGAGCGTGCGTTGCAAAGACGTTTAAAGGAACAGTCTATGCTGAAAGAAACCCCGGAAGATTTAGCTTCGTTGACTCGAGATTTGCATCTTGTTCTGCCTGTAAGTGAAACTACTGTTGAACCATTAAGTGCATTGAACGAGATAAAAATAACTGAAATAGATACTAATAAAATACAATTAAAAGATCCGCGGCTAGCCAGGAGATCATCAAGCGCTCACACTTTGGCGGATTCTAATAAAGAAGTTAAAGAGAGGTCTAATTCAGAAGGGGATTATCAATCAGTGGATATTGTTCAAAAAAATAAAAAATCTTCAGTTGTTGTACAGTTGAAAAATGTAAATGAAAAGAGTGTCACTCAGCTGGTAGATTCTGACCTAAATACTCTGAAAGATCTTAGTAAATGTAAAGAACGCAAAAGCGATAGTAAATCTTTATCGCAAGAGGTAGTGGTTGAATCGTCTAAGTTTAAAAATATTCGATCGGAGGGAAGTAAAGAATTGAAATTGAAGAAAGAGAAGGCCAAGAAGCTCATGGAGAAAAAGAGGAAGAAATCGTATGATCCTCTGGTAGCAGAGAAACATGTGGAGAAATACTCGCATAAAAAGGTATCATCTGAAGGCAATCAAGAATCCTTGGTTGTTATGACTGAAATTGAGAAAACAAATAGTCGTGACATTCACAAAGATTTATCGAAAATTATGACTTCTGAAATGTGTTCCAAATCAGAATTTATTATAGATGACAGAAGTGTACAGGAGCAAGCTAATGTTCATTCTATTTTAGAACTAGACAAGCAAAATTCTAACGAAACAATTTTAGATAATCAGCAGGTTGCAGATGAGGAAAAAACACAGAATAAGGATGATCTAAATTTCGTAAATTCGGAAAATGGAAAAGATAGTATTAAAGAGATTGAAAAAGATATAATTAAAATTGTTGAAATGGAAACATCGTCCAAACCAATTTCTATTAAAAACTTGAACAAAAAGAAAGATGTATGTAAAGACATGTCGGTGGGTTTAATCTCTCTTGACAGTGCTCAAACAATTTTCACTGAAAAATGTATAGAAAGTACTGTATCTCTTATTACGGATTGTGTTAGCGACGAATCGCGTTCGTTAAGTGAACACACCGATGTTGACGTTAGGAAAAGTGTTCATTTAGTCAACATTGAAAGTTTGAAAAATGTTATAATTCATGATAATTCTACTTTGGATACGGAAATGGATTCAGATATTGACAGTAAATGTAATAATATAAATGTAGAAACAAATGATATGCAAGAGCAGGATAAAAATAAGATTACATCTGAATCACATGAGGATTTAAAAGATTCAGGTAGTAAAATCATAGAGAGTGAAACACAATCTCCAGAGAGTCCCAACAGCCCCTTCAAAGGTTTTCTCGCTGATTCCATTGAAAATGACACGTGTCAGGTGTCTGAAATGTATAAGGTAAAAGCAAGCAGTATAAGTGGCAAAGAAAATGTAAAGAAGAATTCCAAACAATGGTTGGACACCTGTCTTAATAATAAACTCACTTTGGAATCACAGCAAGATAACAAAGATATTGATGAAAGTTCAAACAGGAAAAATGAGGATAATGAAACAAAGTCAATTTGTAGATTAATGGAGGAACAACAGGGAATTAGTATATCTAATGTTGCTAATGAAACAACAGGTAACACTTTACACGTTCTAGATAATATTGAAGTTGCAACAACAACCTTAACAACTGAAAATAGGGATATCACAGGGAAAAATGATCAAGCTTACAATGCTTTTTCAGAGCAAAGGAATACTTCACCCATGATCGACATAAACAGTCATAATTCGACAGTTTTCGATGACGGTGAACCGTTCATTGTTCTGGACGAATATATAGATGATGCAGATGGAAAATCGATTGAGAAATTGAGTGCTCTTGATTTAGATTTTGAAGATTGCATAGCTAGGGATGCGGATATTTTTACAAACAAATCTTTAGCCGAAGAAGAAAGGTCAACGAATGATATCAAATCGCCGAATTTTAATTCGATAGATTTTAAAGAATTATCTGAAGTCTTCGATAAAGAGAATATTGATAAAGAACAAAATCAGAGTACTATAACAGCTATAAATGAAAGCGAGGAAATTGTGTTACCTGAAGAAAATACTGTCCCTCCAACAAAATTATTTGTATCTGAAGAAGGATCTATAAATGCCACGGATGTAGTTTTCTCAACCTTTGAATCGAATAGCGAATCAAATTCAAAAATAACGAAGATTGTTAAATTGATTGATTCGACTGTTTCAGAAATTCCAATAGAATCTTCGGAAAATATTATTAGTACAATGTCTAAAGATATTTCTCAGAGATCTCTAACGCCCGAATTATCCTACACAGACACAGGAAGGACTAAGGAAGGGAATCTTCACTGTGCATATATATCAAAAAATAATTTACAAGACAACTCTGAATCTTCTAGTACAGCAAAAATGGAAGTTACATTACTTGAAACTGATACCTCGCTAAAGTCAAGTGCTCCAATAGAAACTGCCATGAAATCGTCGTTAGAGAATTTTTCGGTTACCGAATCGATGCAAAGTGAAGAGTTCTTAGAATTGAACAAACAGACATATGATTGTGAACAAAAAAATTTACAAAAATCAAACGATAATCTGGTGAATAAATTGAATTTAATTCCTTCTGAGGCAAGAATGTCCAGTGATAAAGATGCGTCTTTTGATTCCACCGCAGGACAAAAAACATTAAAATATTCGAATAAGACAACTTCAAACAACCCAAACCAAAGGGAGGCAGATGAAATGTTGCATAAAATAAAAAATAAATCTAGAATGAAACATAAAAAACAGAAACGCACTATTTCAGAGAAGACAGTGAAAGAGGTAATGAAATCAGACACTGTAAAAGTGAAATATCCAAGTACAAAAGAGGCTATAATGGCCAGGATGATCGAAATTGATGTCGAGATTCATAAGTTAATGACAGAGAAGATGACCCTGTATCAAATGCTGACAAGTGATGCTTTACCAAGCGACAATAATTTACAACAAAATAATGTAACGCATGAAGAGAAAGAAATTGAAACACCGGTGATTAGACCTCGAACTCCATCCGCGTTAATGTCACAATTAATTCAGAATATTGAAACTAGTCCTGTAACGAATCAATGTGCCAAAATAACCACAGAGAATGTGTCTACAAAAGACAGTACAATTAATTCTGAACAGCCAAATAAATCTAAGACGTTACCTAGAAACGAGCATCAAACAGAGAAAAAAGGGAGTTGTACTTCCACTTGCGGTTCTGACGATGAAGAAACTATGCATCACACTAAGTCGTCTATCTCTAGAAAGAGAAAGAGGCAAAGGTCTGAAAGAACGCCTAAAAATTTGGAAAATAAATCAGACTGTAGTGTGTCTAGTAAGGATACACAAATTATAGAAAAGAAACAAGTTAATGATGCGACGAAAGTAACATCTCGAAAAATTAATACGAGACAAACAATAATAGAACAAGATTCTAGTCAGGTTTCAATTAATGAAAATAAATCCCAAAAAGATAAAATATCTACCCAACAAATTGATAAAGAAGATTTGTATAACAATGATAAAATAGAAATGCTTAAAAATGAAGAAGTTGAAAAAAGTATTGAATGTGCAAAGTCTCAAACATCGGCTGAAGAAATTATTGAAGCAAATGTAACAGAGGTCAATGAAGAAAGTTGTTTAACAAAAGATAATGAAGTAAAGACTGAAACTTCAAAAGAAGGTGCAATTTCAGCCGTAAAATCACAGGAAAACAAAACACCGGAAAGATCATCGATATACTCGGATGACAGTACTTGGGATTCTCTTCTTCAGAACTCAAGTATGGATGATCAAAAGAAACCGAACACGGGTCTTGCTCTTTTAGAAGAAACGTACAAGAAAGAGATGGCGAAAACGCGGAAAATAAAAGCTGAGGCACGAAAGAAGAAAAAGAAAAGGTTGCATAATCTGTTACAAGCTGTTAATACTTTAACTCCTGAGGAGGAGGAGTTACCACTTTCTGCACTGTATATTAAAAAATTGCATCAAAAAAGGAAGTTACTGAATTCTTTAGAGTATCAAGCAAAGCAACAAGTAAGTGATGATCCAGAACTTTGGAAGAATGTGGTTGAAGTAATAAATGCAGTAGCAGAAAACAGAACAGAAGAACTTTATGTGGAACAATTACAAGAACAATTAACTGGTGATACAGAAGGTACTACATCCGACATACTAGAAGAAAACTCTGATTCCAAAGAAAATAAAGAAAAACAAATAGTAGATTCCCTTATATTAAAAAATACTGAAGAAGTTTGCATTGACCTATCTGTAGATGTTAAAACTTCATGTGAAAATAAAGATACAACAAATAATGAACTTAAGAAAGACAATGTACAATTGTCACCTAGTAAATCCCAGGAATGTTTAAGCAATGAACACTTTCAAAAAGATTTGGAGATTAGTGCATCATCAAAACTTGTAGAAGATATATCAGGAACATCTGTGTGTGAAATATCTACAAATATTGAGGAAAATCTAACAGAATTTTCTGCACAAGAAGCTCTGGAAAATGACAATGTAGAAATTAATCAATTGACTTCAATAGATGATGTAGATTCATGTTGTATGGAATTAGATTCAAGTAATATTTGCAGTGATCAGAATACTTTAAATACTTTGGAAAATTCACCTACAAAGAATCTTGAAGAAGACAAAGTGGAAGTGGAAAATGAGGAACTTAATTTACAGGAGAAAATTTGTAATGTTGAAGAGGATATTGCAGCACAGGCACCTGCCAACAGTCAATCAGTGGTAACACTTGAAAATGTTGAAAAAAGTCAGGATGATGCAACCGAATATAACAATGATAAAAATACATCAATTACAAGTGAGATTAGTTCAAATGGAGATTCTGATTTTGAAATGGAAGGTATGAATGAAGAGAAATTGAAAGATTCCACAGTTTCATGCGAGAGAGACAATAACGAGGACGACACTACGGAAAAATCAAGTTGTACACCTCAAGATGAGCAATTTATAAGCCTTAAAGAGCATAAAGAATCACAGAAAAGAAAAGAAACTGAACGATTGAACAAAGATCCCAGCGAAGAAAATAACAATCAGAATAGTGCATCCGTTTCTTCTACTAGTGAGAGCACAGACACATTAAAAAGTGAAGAAACATCTAGTAAAAAATCATCCAAACGTAAGAGTTCAAGCAGCAGAACTCCTCTTCGGCGAAGCTCTAGGTATACCGAAGAATATACGAAACGTATAAAACTAGAAGTTGATGTAAGCGTTCAGAATATCGAACAAGAATCACAAGAAAAGAATTTAAAAATGCAGTTCCCGAGTATATCAACGATATCGTTATCGTCATGCGAAGACGAAGTTGAAACTATATGGATAAACCCAAGAAAAAGTCGTGGTACTCAAAAAGTTACGAGTAGCAAAAAGCGATGTACACCTATGTCTTTAGAAATTGAAATTCTACATGAATCAAACTTAAACAATGAGCCAATAAAGGGGATTAAAAGATACAAACAACATACGATATCAGAAATGATGAATTGCGTAGTAAAGTTAGCAGATTGTAAAGATGCAATCTTGAACCCAAATAAAAGTCCTAATACAATACAAAAGTACGGAATCTCTGAAATTACTAAATGCGTATGTCCCAACTCTACTCAATTAGATCCTTTTATAACATCTATGCAATCGACATCAACCAAAGATTTGTCAAGTGTATGCCTAAAAGAAACAACTTCTGTGACTGAATTTTCACCAAGTCAGACTTCAAAGTTAATTAAAAAATTTGAGGATGCAATGCGACCTGTTAATGATCAAATAACATTCACCAAAGTTAAAAAGACACTGAAACCTGGAAGAATAGATTCGCCTGCAATTGACAAAGAAGAACATGCAGATCCTGATATTGAAGTCATGCCAGTTTTGATAAAAGAGCCAGTTACTGTGGACACTTCACAGAATTATGAGAAGCCAGACATTGAGATTATAGAAGAAAAAATGATAGTTACCAAGAGTCAACAACATAGTAACTCTGGATCGACACTAACTGTGATAGATACAAAGGATGATAAGGAAGTACCGAGGACACAGTATACGGTCCATAAAGGTCCTATTTTAGATATTAAGGTAAAGGATAAGAAAAAAGGTCGTAATAGAATAAGAAAATTAGTCAGAAATTTCTAAGTGATACGTGTTTATTGTTGTTTTTCTTATTTAAATCACGTGAAAACATACTTTTTGTTCCTATGAAAGCATCTTTTTTTTTTTTTTTTTTTTTTTTTTTTTTTTTTTTTTTTTTTTTTTTTTTTTATTACTTCTTACTTTAAGTTTTATAATTTATAAACAATTCTATTGGCAACTGTTATAAGTGTACAAACACAAAAAAATAGTGTTAATAAAATTACAAAAATTTCTAGTTCTTTAACTTCCACTCATTACTTTCCTTCACCTTATCTATTATTTTTGCTTGGTTTACAGTTGTTTCTACACTGTAATGTAAATGCTTGTTATTTCTATTATTATCTATGATTGCACTACTGCATACTGATAATTTTTTCGCTAAAATAGTAGCAGTTAGATTAGATTTAATAAATTGATTTTAAAAGTAAATTTTTCTTTTAGATTTTTGAGAATTCATTCCTAGCTGCAAGTGAAGATGGCAGAGTATATAGATATAATCAAGCTTCTAATGGAATATTAAACATCTACAAGGGCCATAAAGCAGCAGTAACTTGTTTATACGTGTACAATGCAAACAGCACAGATATTAATAAAGAATGGATGTTCTCTGGTTCATTGGATGGAACTTTACGATGTTACAACATAATGGTAAATATATATCTACTTGTAAACCAAGTATATTGTATGTTAGTATCAAATTTCCAATATCATTATATATTGTAAATGAATTTCATTAGACTGGAGTACAAGCAAGAGAAACTGCAGATATAGGTAGTCCAATACAATGTATGGATGAAGCATGGGGAATAATCTTCATTGGTACTAAATCAGGCCATGTATCACGCTATCATATGAAGGTTTGTTAAGAAATGTTACAAATACAATTATTTTTATAGTACATATACAGGAATATTTCTTTTATAATAGAAGATATATTAATATTTCAGTCAGGTATTATTAAAGGAAACAGCATACAGTTCTCGGATAAATCTGTATTAGCTTTAAAAGCAACTAACGAGGGTCCACGAAGAGTTCTCATTGTAGCATCACGTAGTCAACCGATAACAATACGGGATGCTCAGAGCGGCCTATTTCTTCGCACAATTTGTGGTCAAAAAAATCATACAGTGTATAGTCTGATGCGGGATCATAATTTGATTTATTGTGGCACAAGTAGCACGTCTATACCTGTCTTTGATTTCACGGTTAGTAAAATTAGTATATGTATAACGTATATAATGTCTTATCACTTTATTTCTTCTTATTTTATAGAATGGTGAACAAACAATGCAGTATGATGCTGGTGTAGGAATTGTATGTATGCGTCTGTACAGACAGTTATTGTTTGCTGGTTGTTATGATGGAAATATTTATGTATTTGATACGAAGGTTAGTATTAAACTTAAAAAAAGCGGGAGGGGAATGTTAGTAGTAAGAAATTGTATTAAATTTTAAATAAATTCTAGGATCATCGACTTGTATGTAGTATACCTGGACCTGGAAATATGTTATTAAGTATGGAAGTCATAGACAATAAGGTATTTAAAGAATTCCATTAAAATATTACTGACAAATCACACCGAACATAACGTATAATTATTTATTTACTTTTCTAGATCATAGCTGGTAGCAAAGATAAACGTTTGCAGTCATGGCAAATGCCTCGGCAAGTGCGAACTTTGCTATAGAAGGTGAACCAAGCTTGAACTGATAGATCCTAGTCTAGTCGTGCTCCTAAGAAAAAATTATTGAACTTGGAGTGCAATCTGTCTATAATGAACTTCTACAAAATAATTGTACAGATTCAGAGGACTTAATTTGTAATATATATATATATACATATATATGCATATATATATAAAATCTTATTTACGAGAAAATGCACATAAATAATATAAATACGTTTGTACAGAAAATTATATAAATTATTCGTATTGCGACGAAATCGGAATATTTACGATACATTTGGAAATTGTAGTAGATTTTTGTTCTTTATTCCATTTTATTAACTCGCGCTACCGAGGGCCAACCTCCTGTGCCTTGTGCGCGATATAAAATGCTTTTTTTGGTATTCTTTAATAAAAATGCAAGAAACATAAACGTGACTACAAACAAATGCACCCTTTATCATTGAAAGCTCTTGAACCTTTGCACTTGTTATTTTTTTTGTATCTGCATATATACTTGAAGAATGCGTAGGGTTCTCTTAATACATATATACCTGTTAAACAGTAATGCGATAAATGTAAATGCTAGTATTAATTAATTATAATTGTTGTTTTATATTAAATTTATAGGTGGTTAACAACTTTTCATAAATTGCTTGATGAGTGCAAAGGATTGAAGCGTTTAAAACCAACAGATATAGAAACATATTTGGATTAAATCAATAAGAAGCATGTGTTTTATTGCATTGATGTAATGCATACCTCTGCAAATGAGAACCACTGCAACAATTTTCATATTATAATCGATTTCTTTTTCTGTAGCTACTTGTTTTTGGTGATGTAACATGTGCTAACTTTGTATATGTTACTTTAAATTGTTATGTTATTTTTTATTGTTTTTTTTCGCGTTTCATAATTCACAATAATTTTTTTTATTAAATTAACTACAAGAAAAGAAAGATCTATTTCTGCAGATGTTGCAAACAAAAGACGTTAAAATATGATTGTAATGAAATGTATATGTTAAAGAAATTTGTCCATATTATACATTGTAAGAAATATTCGATTTTTAAAGAAAGTATAACATAAAAGAAATTGTATACAACTTCGTATTTGATTTATCTTTAACATATATTATTTCATTCAATGCACGTTACGTTTATGAATTTATAAAATCATTTACATGCACATCAATGAACATACTACATTATATTTTATAAGATTATTGTGTATTTAGTATTTGTTACATGTAATAATAAAACACTGTTCCCGCATCTTTGACAAAGTTTTTAGCATTTGTTTTTTAGAAGAAATTTTCTATGTAAACTAGCAATAGTAATGTATACAATTTTAAAATTTTGTATATTAAATTGTACAAAAATTACGAGAAGTATAATGAGCCACCTAAACCT